GCACCTAACTAACAATTGTGTGGTCCTCAGGAACTTCTATAAAAAAAGAAATAATCTCTGTGATGTCATTTTTTCCCAAAAAGTAAACCAACATTCAGAAACCTGGTGGGGAAAACATAAGTACATCACACAAATTCATAAAATAAAATAAACAGTAAAATAAACAGTGAAACAGTAAATCAGTAAATCTGAGTCCACACTCAGATCTTGTGTTAAACAACATGCTACATTACACACAAAAATGGGGATGATAAATATTTTTTTATTAAATGTGTCTATTTGTTAGCATGTCCTCTACAGCATGACGTAGCTCTCAGAGCGAGGGGGATTTCATTCCAGATTTATTCCCTCTTTGCTGTTATAATAATAATAATAATAACCAAATAATCTGATTGTTTTGACTTAGGAATTTATGATACACTATATGGCCATATGTATGTGAAAAACTATTACACGATTACTGTCACGATTCCCAGCTGGAGTGCCCATGAACTCCACTAGAGGGCACTCCACCCCGGACTCTTACTATTGTTTCTGGACCCCATTTCCCATGTGTTCCTTGCCCCTCATGTGATCTTGTCATGTGTTACCCTTGTCTTTGTGTCATTTTCTGATTGGTTCCTTAGTTTCATGTGTCTTGTTCCTATTGGTTAGGTTAGTCATGTGTCTTGTTCCTCACTGGTTGTTTTGTCATGTTACCTTGATTGTTTGGTGTATATATAGCCCTCATGTAGCCATTGTCTTGGGTTGTGTATTGTTGGTGATGGTGATGTTGTTGTAACCTGCAGTCTGTTTATGCGAGGTCAAGTCTGTTCAAGTCTGTTCAAGTCAAGGCAAGTCTTCATTTGTGTTTTTGGTTTTCACTTTGTAAATAAAAGCTGCACTTGGGTTCTTCACTACGCTCGCCTCAGTGGACTGATGTTACAATTACACTCATAGGTGCTTGTTGAACATCTCATTCCAGATTTATTCCCTGTTTGCTGTTATAATGAGCTCCACTCTTCTGGGAAGCTTTCCACTAGATGTTGGAGTGTGGCTGTGGGGATTTGTGTTCATTCAGCTACAAGAGCATTAGTGAGGTCAGGCGCGGATGTTGAGGAGGTCTGGGGTGCAGTCGGTGTTCCAGTTCATCCCAAAGGTGTTCAGTGGGGTTGAGGTCAGGGCTCTGTACAGGACACTCGAGTTCTTCCACTCCAACATTCACACACCATGTCTTCATGGAGCTCGCTTTGTGCACAGGGGCATTGTCATGCTGGAACAGGTTTGGGCCTCTTAGTTCAAGTGAAGGAAAATTTTTAATGCTACAGCATACAAAGGCATTCAATACAACTATTTGCTTCCAACTTTGTGGTGACAGTTTGGGGTTATTTGTCACTTACACATTATAGCACAGTGAAATTCTTTCCTTCATATATCCCAGCTTCTTAGGAAGCTTGTTAGGAAGCTGGGTTCATAGCACAGGGACAAACATGATACGGCACCCCTGGAGCAGATACGGTTAAGGGCCTTACCTTTATTCCGTGAAGGGCTTGACAATGCTGGGATTTGAACTCACAACCTTCTGAGCTACCACTCCTCATATCAAGTATTGAAGCTGAAGCTATTGTGGTGGCTTAAAGCCATAGTAACACACTTACTGTTTTTTTTTTTTTTTTATTGGTTTTGCCTTTAACTGTGACCCTTCTGTATCTTTCAGTGATCTAGGCAAATTGACACAACTTTTCCAAACCCCAAACTCTCTTCTTTTTGCC